ATTTTCTTTGACAAAAAAGCGGACTTATCTGTAAGATTTTAGGGTACGCTTACCTCTCGTTTTCCAGGTACCTATCATATCGCAACTTTATGGTAGACACTTACCGGCTCAATCCATTCGAATACCTTTCTGCCACAGCATGTCGAAGAAATCTTGCTGGTGATGTCTGCTCAATTGTTAGGTGCGTTGCTTCATTTACTTCTCAACTTTTGGTCTCTAATATGTTCTGTATAGAGTGCACTCATTTCTTGAGCAGTGGGGCTTGATAAACTATCAGGTGGACTCAGATGCTCGTCCTGCACCGATTGCTCCTCCACCGACTAGTCATTTCATGGTTTTGGCTGATACGCCTACAGGTGTTCAGCCGATATGCCCTGTTGTGTCGAACTTTGCTGTGGGTCTCCTTCATTTGTATTAAACATCGCTATTTTGTTGCTAAGCCCATTTTAGCCAGAGAAAAAGGATGAAGATGCTGAGAAAACTCCTATTGATAAGTTGTCTAACGTAGGACTCAAAACCGATCAGTATCAGAAACAACTTGCAGCTATGAAAGTATGTTTCTTTCTAATGTGCTCATGTAAGAGCCTTCTGGTATATCTGACTTCTATTCAGACCAAAGGAGCTGCTCCAGGACGTGATTGGACTGATCAAGAGACGCTTTTGCTACTTGAGGGTTTGGAAATGTTCAAGGATGACTGGAACAAGGTGAATCATACTAAGGTGTAGCCTAAGCCCATGGCGCGCGCCATATTTGATCCGCTTGATCCGCTTCATCCACTTCACTATCGGTCAAATCGGCAAACCGACCAATGGCGACTTGGATTAAGCGGATCTAGTGAACCAAGCGAATCATGTGAAACATCCGCTTTGCTATTGGTCACTTCACTAATTTGACCAGTAGCGAAGTGGATAGCGGATCAAGTGTGGCGCGTGCCTATGCTGTGCAAACAACATCTACTGGTCTATATGTTCTACGATTTTTGATTACAAATCCATTCTTGTTGTTAGGTATCCGATCATGTTGGATCGAGAACTCAGGATGAATGCATTCTTCGATTCCTGCAGTTGCCCATTCAAGATCCTTATCTTGGATCGGACGAAGCAAATGGTCCCGGAAGTGGTGATTCTATTTTGGGTATGCTGAAACGCTCCAAGTTTTCTACCACAAAATCTCCCTTTTCTCATTTATAGGACCTCTAGCCTTCCAACCCATTCCATTCTCCCAGTCAGGCAACCCGGTGATGTCCACGGTAGCGTTTCTAGCATCCGTGGTCGATCCAAAGGTTGCACAAGCAGCTACCAAGGCAGCGATTGAAGAGTTCGCCAAGATAAAAGATGAGGTAAGTTGAGTTAAACGTGATGTGTTGTCCCTCTCAATTTATTCATAAAGGTGCCAGCATTGATGGTTGAAGCACATGCGCGAAATGTACAAGCGCACGAAGAGAAAACAGGTGTGCTTGATGGAACCGTAGGACTGTCCAAATCTGGTATAGCCACTGACGAGAAAAAAGAAAAGGAAGAGGGCGAGAAGATGGAGACGGATGAAAACGCAAAGAAGCCAGATGATGCTACTATCGAGCGCACAGCCAAAGTGGCTGTAAGCGAAAATGTCCAAGCTGCTGCTGCTGCTGCTCTCGCCGCTGCCGCAGTAAAAGCTAAGGTTAGAAGTTCTTTCTTATTCCTTTTTATGAAATTTCAATAGTTTACTTGAATTTCAGCATCTCGCCACCATCGAAGAGCGCCGAATCAAATCATTAGTCGCTCAATTAGTAGAAACCCAGATGAAAAAGTTGGAGATGAAGTTGCGGCACTTTGACGAGCTAGAGCAAATTATGGATAAAGAACGAGAAGCTGTGAGTTGTTCTCCCATTTTCTGTTTGCGTTTTTGTTTATTAGAATGTAGTTATGTATATGCTTCATGGTTCAGCTGGAGTATCAGCGCCAGCAACTTATTCTTGAACGACAAGCTTTCCATATGGATCAGCTAAGATACCTGGAGCAGCGTGCTAAGCATGAAGCACACAGTAAAATGGTAGCAGCCGGTCAAGTGAGTTATTTGGTATCCTCACAATAGTGAAAACTCTTATCTTTGGTTTAGTTGCCAGCATCGTTACCACCCGGATTTGAAGTGAGTGGTCCTCCTCAGCCGACCCCACAAGTGCAAGTAGCTGTTCCTCCTGCTCATGAACGTAAGTATCACAGCGTGTAATTCCGTTTTTTTATATGTAAGAACTCTTTAGGAAAGCGAAGTTTTTCCTTTTTG